GTTTCAAATCACCTCTGGAACCACCTCCTTCAAGGTGTTACAACATTTTTGGGACACCCTGTATAAAACATAAAATATTGTGCATTACTTATTGCAAATATTGTATTACTTATTAATAAAGCGAAAGAAACTTTTGGGACAACCTAATATTTAAAATTGAAAAAACGACATTAGTGTCCAGTTCACCTAATGATAATTGGTGGATATTTAAATCAGTCCTTACCTGTCGTCAGTGAATAATCGATCACGTCGGAGTAGCATTATTTCACCTCACCACCGATTATGTTAACGTAGAGCTATAGCCATCTTCATGGAAAGTGTACCAATCGATAAGTCACTCACGAAAGGGAAGTAACGTTAAACATCATCTTCGCTACTGTTACATTTCTGTTCGCGAAAGAAGCAATAATTTCCTCTTTTCTAGTTTCTAACAGTTCCTGGAAAGTATATAGATCATTGTAACGCAACCGTACCGAGATTACGTACGTGGAATGATATATACCGCCATAGCACGCGTTCTTGAGCGCATTTGCTCCGTATTCTCGGGATACTATTGATATTTTAACAAAGGACATCAGGAATACGTACGTAAATCATATGGTAGAAGTTGAGAAACTAACAGATCTGGAGAATACAAAAATAAGTAACGCGACGAACGGTAGATTCCATAGTTTCTAATTGTCTCTAGACAAAATTCGAATGTACTTCGAGAATATCGACATTCCATCAATAAATTAGAGTGCACGCAATGCAGCGATTTCAATCGTTGCATACAAAGTTAAGTAGATTGTCACAGTGCTCGTGCAGACACTCCAAGTGATACGTATCAACGAGTGGTCAGACATCGACCACTCGCAATTTTTCCAATTCTTAGCGGTAGTATCGATTCTACGATAGCAATTATACTGTTATTCTCGTACCAAGGATACCCTGCGTCGAGCATTTTTTTTTTCTCCCATCAAATAACAGTATTCACTCTTAATCATTGGGTTTCGTTGTGCCCGCTGTGATTTCGTCACTCTAGTTAGAGCACTCTGTTTCTGTCTCCAGCTTACCTCAAAGTGAAATTACAAATCATAGTAATCGAGCCACGCGAGGTTTGTGTATTTATTAACGTCTATGAATCTCTCGTATTAATAGAAATAGAAAATTGATACATGAAAAGCTGGAAACTCGAAAGACAGCAAAGTTGAACCTAAGTAATGAAATTAAACATTAGAACGTAAAAGTTTTGAGAAACGTGATAAATGAGCGATTTATCGTGAATTGGATTAATCCTGAATCGAAATCTGGGAAGAATTGACAAGGACGCATATTGTTTTAAATTTACGAGTATTTATTTTTAGTTCTACGAACCGTTAACTACGTCACCGTTGACGTAGGTTGATACCTTGAATAGCGTTGTTGCGTCATCTCGATGGGTTTTTTCTTCGATTGAAGTGTCGCTTTCGTTTACTTTTCGCGTGAGATAACAGCAGGCGCAAATCCATCGGGATATAGTTCTCGGAGAACCTCGAGAGCTATTAAGCGACAGTATCCTTCCTCCTCTAAGTGGGAATGAATAGCAAATATTTAAAAAAATAATACTCTCAGAAATTGGATATAGAAAATCTGTTTTCGCGAACAACAGTACAACGTTAAAGAAAATATAGAACCAGTAGTAGTCAACCTTTAATCGAAACCGTATTCTTCGTAATCTAATCCTAATGCTATCACGATTAAATGTATTTACACAGATAGTCCATAATCATTAATCCCTATGTAATTGTCGCATGTAAGAAAAACAAAAGTTCAGGAATATATACTGGAATATAAATTGATAACATTTTATCGCAAGAAGAATTATTTCAAATAAATAAATAATCACCTACCCCAACCATAATATATACAGTTTAAAATATTCCTGGCATTGTGCAACATTCTGTAACACCGTTACAAGGAGTTCCATTTTAGAGATTGCAGCAGAGAAAGAAAACTTAGAATCGCCATACATAGGAGGATCGATCGATTCCCAACGAGATAGTTGGAGAAACTGATTCTATTATTACACCTAATATTCCATAAAGCATGAGATACAATTAGCGCCGCCAACGAGCGTCCTATTGCATCCAGAAGCGAAATCAATGACCCTTATCGCGCGATTTTACTTGAAAAACGAGGAAAAGCGGCCATAGTATCGGAAAACCGATAAATGAGAGAGATTCGAACAGAGACGAGGTATTTCTCGCGAATATCTTGATCCATTTTTGAAACACGTCTGCGATATTGGCTTAATTTAACCGAGGAGTTGACCCTTTGAAATGCGCATAACAGAGATAGTCTTTCACGATCCCAGTCCCCTAAACTCTTGATCTACTTCCACTCAGCACTGTACATAATGGACCGTCTTGTACGTAACGTTCGGAGCCTTACAGATTTACCCTTTTGTTTCGGACTCGCCTTTGTTCGCGTTCGTTTTGTTTGTTTGTGGGATTTGTAGTCTCGGGATTGCCTACAAGACCGCGTCTCTGTAACTCGTCGACGAGAACGCCTGATTCAGACCGTGAACGCTTTGATTAACAAAGTTGCGTCGCTAAGTAGCGATCGTTGTAATCGCGATGGTACTTGGAGGATTGCTTAACTAGAATATTTGCTTCTGTTAACGACACTTGTGTATTTATCGGTTTCGTGAAAGATTAATCAGAGGGAACCCTTGATCGCATTGATTGTAATTATTTGGAGAACTAAGTTTAATTTTAGTAGAATTGTTTCTATCGTCGTTATACGTGAACTAATAGGAATATCTTGTGGGAACATGGGTCCTCTTCAGATGCACGGAGCAATTATTTAATTATTCTATAATTTAAACAGAAATGAGAAGAAGAGTGTAATTAAAAAGTGGACTTTTTATGATCATGCTTTTTTTTTTTTCATGAAAAACTGTGAGTAAATTTCTAAAGATTTACTCAAATTAATCTCTAATGGTTTGACTCCAGTTGCGGTATAACGAAAACACTATTCTAGATTTCCTTGCTTATTTTATTTCGTGAGAAGCGTATCAGACCGTATCTCTGACGTGTAGATTCTAATGATTACGAGAACTAATTTTACACCTCATTTACAGCGTTCCGCCTAGATGAATAGGTCAGCGAACATCGACAGAGTCGCAGTGGAACGAGTCAGCCATTGATCAGACGAAGCATAGAATGAATGACGCGTTAGGTTTTTTTATACGCATTTGATCATTTCTGTCGTTTAATATTAGAAAATTTAATAACGATAACAGGTCTTTACTGCGTTAGTGACCAATGGTAAATGTATAATTACGATACAGTGACGAGACGTACAGCTATACTGATAAAGGCTAGAAGAATGAAGCTTGCAGTTCTTGTTGGAACATGCCGCGTATCAATTAGCTCGTAATTCATCAAGATATTACGTAAATATTTATTTTCTCTTTATTATAATTGGCTTAAGAGGAAAACGCAGGCTGCTCGTGTTCTTGAACCGTTCTCACGATTCGTTAGCCACTTTGACTGATCGTGAAAATAAATATAGAAATCGATTTTATCTCGTGTTATTTCTGGTGTATCAGAAGTTCTAGGGATAAACTGAAATGAAATAAAACGCGAGCACTGACTACGTCACCCGGGTCATCAGGATCAGCTAATATGCAAATTTTATTAGATGAGATCAACGAACCATCTCCGTCGGAATACGAATTAATCGCATTCGCGGAGCGACGATAATCCTTGTGCTCCTTTTGTTCGGGCGTTTATTCGTCGGATGTTTATTGCCTCGTTTGACGATTGTTTCGCGAGTCGACGGATAATTATCCTCGATCGACGAACCTTTTGTCGAAAAGTATCGATCCACGACCCCGTCCATTCACCAGTTACTTTCATTGGCGGCTGATTAACGGCTCCCCGAAACTTGCGGTGCAGCGATTTAATCAACGCCTAATGAAATATACCGTGAAATTCGATAAAAACTCTTTGAACGTGGTACGTGCATTCTGATCCAACGACGCAAAAGTTTTTATTGGCTCGTTAAAGAACATGGTGATTTAATATTTTAGGGTTGGAACACTTTAGGATTGGATTATTTATTATTTTTATTCTCTTCTTCATTAACCCCTTGCACTATTTTCACGAGTCAGGCTCGCGATACAAATTTTGGGCCAAACTTGAAAATCACGAGTCAGGCTCGTGATGGAAATTTTAAGCCAAACTTGAAAATCTCGAGTCTGACTCGTGATGGAAATTTTAGACCAAACTTGAAAATCTCGAGTCTGGCTCGTGATAAAAATTGTGGGCCAAACTTGAAAATCTCGAGTCTGACTCGTGATGGAAATTTTAGGCCAGATTTGAAAATTACGAGTCAGGCTCGTGATGAAAATTTTGGACCAAACTTGAAAATCACGAGTCTGGCTCGTGATAAAAATTGTGGGCCAAACTTGAAAATCATGAGTCGTTTAACTCGTTGTTAAATTTAGTGCGACCATTCGGGTGCACGGGTTTGGCACGGCTTTTTCCGAGTTTCAGCGTACTGCAAGGGGTTAACGAAGTACACCTGGGAGCGGGGAGCACACCTAACAAATCACCCTTCACATTTAATTGTAATCATACTTTTTCAATACCATTCTAAAGCCTCTTCAGGAAAAATCTTTGTTACCACTGCTAATTATGTTATATATATATAAAAACAATAAAAAAAACTAAAATTAAATATCGCCTCCGATTATTTTTAAACAATCCTGGTATAGTATATATTAAAACGAACAACGTGGAATAGGCAGCGAGATCATTGGTGGTACGATCATTAATTTCGGACGAAGATGTTCCGCGATTGTTCGTCGTGAAACATTCAGCGACGCGAAGAGTTCGTCGAATGGAACAATCGCGAAGTAACGCATTGTTTTAATTAATCCAGGAGCGTGGCCCTGGTAGAATAAACTTTCGATCGCATGACTCCCTTCCGTGTTGCTGGCTCCTGCTAACGATGCCTCTTTATTCCCGCAGAGAAACGAGAAAAAAGTCTATCGCCAGCACCGCCGCCGTCGTGACCCGACGTTGAATTAAAAACAGAAGAAAAATGTCGTCGGTAAAGGTGGCGGTGAGGGTACGGCCCTTCAACAATCGGGAGATCTCCCGCGAGGCACAATGCATCATCGAAATGTCCGGCAACACTACTTGTGAGTACAATTAATTCCGTCCTTTCATACTTTTCGCCCAGATGGTCTCTCGAACGGCGTTGTATTCTCCTTTTGTTTTTCATTTTTTTTTCGTATCGATTCACCTAGGTAGCCCGAGTATTTTTAATTAGAGACGACTCCACCGGACGACCTTTTGATTATCGTAGACATTCACGTGGAAGCTGAATTTGATGCTACGGTTGTAAAATAAAATAAAAACCAAGCGTGGTATCGAGAATTTCTAACGAGCAGTATCATGAGAAATTAGAACGTCTCGGTACCATTGTAGCTAATGAATAGAATGTATAGCCTTTCTTTTAAAAAAATAGGAAAAATTGTATTCAGAAATCACGTTCGCACTGATTAAACTCGAGAAAGTATAATTGTCCACTTTTACGAGGAAACCGTTAGATGGAAAAATAAGAGTACGTAATTTAGTTTACTGTTTTCTTTATCGCATTAGCGGGTTTACTTCCTTTGCGTGTTACAGCTATATCGAACCCCAAAGCACCACCGGGCACCAAAGATGCAATCAAGAGTTTCAACTACGATTATTCCTACTTTTCCATGGACGTAAGTATCTTTCATCTTTTGTTAACGTTGAGATTTTTTTTTATCCAATGTCAAAAGATCAGATCGCTTTAAAAATTATACACGTACCATCTCGCTTAACTTTTGTACGAAAGAGACAACAGAAAAGAGTCACGGTTCTTCGTTATTTCTGTTGTAGCCATGTGACACTAATTACTCCTCGCAAGTGATGGTCTACAAAGACATTGGCGAGGAGATGCTGCAACACGCTTTCGAAGGTAAGGCTACGTATGAAACAAAGGTAGAAAATCTAAAACGCCTATGGAGAAATGACGCGATCAATGTCTCAGGCATCTCGGACACTGCGCGTCGAAATTCTAACATACCGGGGCATTTACATCTAGAAATTGCCACGCACGTTTGCATACCACCCGACTAGGAATTGGGTGTTGAAATTCTCGTGCATTCTTGGCAGACATTCGCGATATAGAAACAGGACTGCATTAATAACGATCTCACGGTCTCTATAGACGAATTAATAATCCATACTCGCAATCTTTTTCTTGTTGTTAATTTGCTATTTAGTTCTCATCGCTATTGACTCATTCGCTCTAAATTGTATCATATTCACTGTGCTTATGAACTGTGAGAAATTTAAATGAATAAATAAACCTATTTGTTACGAATAAATCCAACACGATCCAAAGGTAGAAGTTACCATTCGATAATAATTGTCTCTGAATAGGGTACAATGTGTGCATATTCGCATACGGACAGACTGGCGCTGGTAAATCGTACACTATGATGGGCAAACAAGAAGAAGGTCAAGAGGGAATTATTCCCCAAATTTGCAAGGACCTTTTTAGAAAAATCAGCCGCAATTCAAGCGAGAGCCTGAAGTATTCGGTCGAAGTCAGTTACATGGAAATCTACTGCGAGAGGGTGCGGGACCTCTTGAACCCCAAGAACAAAGGAAATCTCCGTGTACGAGAACATCCTCTCCTTGGACCATACGTCGAGGATCTGTCGAAACTGGCGGTGATGTCTTATCAAGACATCCACGATCTCATAGACGAGGGAAACAAAGCAAGGTACGCAATCGATTTTTAATTACATTCGATGCAAAAAAATTAGATTTACCATCGTCAATTACATTGTAAAAAGTTACCAGCAGACAAATAAATACAAGTGCTGTATGTATTTATATAGTACTGCAAAATTTTGTTCGGGACAACGCACAACAGTCCAAGTACCGATTGATGTAAATAGTTAAGCAATTGTGTTCGTTGTTTCTGTTTCAGAACCGTGGCAGCCACAAACATGAACGAGACATCAAGCAGATCCCACGCTGTATTCACGATTTTCTTCACGCAACAAAAACAAGATTCTGCGACCGGATTAGTGACAGAAAAGGTCAGCAAAATCTCGCTGGTCGACTTGGCTGGTTCCGAGAGAGCCGATTCTACCGGTGCAAAGGGCACGAGGTTGAAGGAGGGTGCGAATATCAACAAAAGCTTGACAACCCTCGGGAAGGTCATCAGCGCTCTAGCCGAAATCGTGAGTAAATCTCATTTCATTATATGGACTACTTGGAAAAAAATGCCGATGCCAGTATAACTTTGCGAGAGTTTGCTGTTCTATAAATTGCATCAAGAAATAAATTTCTTCTCTAAAAGCGGATGGATCTTTCTGTATAAAATTCTTGCGTGTTCTGTGAGCGTTCGTGTTCATGTTAGGTAATACCCAGTGATGCGAAAGTTACAGCTTCAACCTTTCAAATTTTCCTGGATATTGTCTAAACTTTATATTAACGTAATCCGTATCTTCTGTCTATTTCGCTGCTGTCCTATGGATTATTAGGCGGTAAGTTCATAAATGGCTCTTTCCCCCTTCGTTTAGTTTTCTGTTTCGAATGAATTCTTGGAATAATAGAAACGTCACGATACACGTATTTATCGTTCAGGTTTTTGCAAATTTCAATGTAAAAAAAAAAAAAGAAAACGAAACAAAGAATGTCAATCTCTTCAACCGGTTTGCGGTTGTTCTAGGCGACGAAAAAGAAGAAGAAGGCTGATTTCATCCCGTACAGAGATTCCGTTCTAACGTGGCTGCTGCGAGAAAATTTGGGTGGAAACTCAAAAACAGCGATGATCGCTGCAGTGAGCCCTGCGGACATCAATTACGATGAAACACTCTCCACTTTACGGTACATTTGTTACTGTTGTCATTTTATAAATTCATTTTCTTACTTGTTATTTAAACGTGAAACTTGGTCGAAAGCTGTCTTCCTATAAAATACATATTTTTTATTTATTTTATCATTCATTGTTGGGTTTCTCTGAAGCGTCCAGGTTACTCAGAAACTTATTAGATGACCTGAATAAGCCGGATGAAGTCGTTTGGCTATAGCTCAAGCTTCCACGATGCAACAACATTAAAACTTTCATGAATTATAAATAAATCTCCTCCGAGCATTTCTCGCATAATGAAATAAACGTTACCGAGATGTTTGCTCTAGGGAATGACTTACTTTCGCGGTAACAGAGCTTACAAGAGCAAAAAAAAAAAAACTTGAAGAGCGAGCAGAATCGTTTACTTAAATCAGTCAAAGCTTCTCTAGGAAAATTACAATTTTGTTTCGCGCTTGTTCGTTGCAACTTTTCAAAGTATAAAAAAAAAAATAAGTTTCTAAAGAGAGGAGGAGGGGATTAAATGAAGAAGTTTTAAAAACGGGCAAGGCACTTGAAAGCATCCTTCAGAGGATTCATTAGTGTGCATTCATCCCTTTAACGCGACGCGTTATTTGCAGAAGGTGTTCTTGTACAGTTTAACATAAGCTTTATATAGAATATGCGAGTTACATTCGTGTGTGCGTCTCCTCTGCGTTCATTTTATTTGTTTAATAATTATGCGTATTCGTTGTTTGTGACCACAGATACGCAGATAGGGCGAAACAGATAGTTTGCAAGGCTGTCGTTAACGAGGACGCGAACGCGAAGCTTATCAGGGAGCTCAAGGAGGAGATTCAGAAGTTACGGGAGCTCCTGAAACAAGAGGGTATTGACGTGCAAGAAGGTGAGTCGCTTTTCTCTTTGTGCAACGCGGGTTGAATTTCCAAGAGTGGTGCACTCCCTTTCTGCGCGCGTGCGGGTACGCGTGGTTCGATAACAGTAGGTATGTTTCCAATAACGCTCGAAGCGAAAGCAGTATGCTCTGCTGCTTAATAACCAACGTTAATAAAAGCAATACGTACAATGTACATACTTGAACGATTGTGCCGCTCGCTGAAGGAGAACATTAAATGAAAACGCGCTTTTTAAATAAAACATAACTCAATTTATATCGTATGTCTTGACGAGCTATTTACAAATCACAGAGTGTTAACAAGATAAAAACATTTATAATGTTTACAAACGAGATGAATAGAACAATCAGCGTTACAAGCAGTTGTTTAAATTTATCAAACGTTGAATGTTTCAAGAATTAAGCTATCATACTGTATCGATAAGCTCTTTAAGTAAAAGAACAAAAGAGAGAAAAATGTCATACGAACACGAGTCCAAACTAGTGCTTTGTTAAAAAGTTGATACTTTGCGACGCAAAAGCAAAATGTAACAACAAAAAGTAGCGCGCTGTAGGCAAGCCACCATTTACATAGTACGTTTTTTTCTTTGTTTCCCTTGTGCTTGACGTAGGGCCAGATGGCAAAGTCACATATGAAAAGAAAGAATCTAGTAAGTAAAATCACGAAAATCCACACAAACGACGAAAGTCTCTCAAAGCCGGGGGAGTCCGATCACTCTTATTTGCGCCTGTTCTTTAAACGTCCGCTTCTATCTCATGGCCAAGCGCATAATGCGTGTCATCTGTGTTTTTGTCGATTCCCAAAAAGATTATTTACATTTTGCTTTGCGCAGAATCGCATTCTATTTTTTTTTTCCCCCCTTTTCAACACACAAACACAGACACGTACATACATCAGCCACGATATAACCACAGCGGTTGATGATTATTGTCCCATTCATATCGTAGGTGGCATAATTAGCGGCTTTTAACGTTAAACTCTACGTTCATGAATCGAACGCCGATGGAGAACGATACATGTAGCAACATCCCCTGCATTAGGCACCTTTCCAAATTATTTAAATTCTGTATAAAAATATTCATTTGTGCTTTGGTACGTACTAGATGGAGAATGATCGATTCGCGAGAACAATCAGATCAGTCGAGAGTTCTAAGAAACAATTTAGATTTAATTTGTCCCTCTGATTTGTCCTATTTTGAGCCCCCTTGCGAGTGACGTGAAATCGCATACGCTGTGGTTTTGAAAACTTTGGGATTCGCTGTTTCCTTCGAATTTTGACGAAATGTTACGTAGTTTGTAAAGTATAAGGATTCCGTAATCAGTCGAACGGCCTGACGAAGATTGATCTTACCTGGCGAAATCCTGTTAGCGTCTCCGAGAGTCTTCGACTGATATATAGACACCTAATTTCGCATCGAGCGCTCACGTATGAATTCCAGGCTTTTATAGTTTCTCTGTTGTGTCGGAATTCCCCTCCAGTAAATACGTGTTGTTTGCCTCGCTTATTTGTTCACTTAGATCCATCACATTGTCCCTAAAACCGACCCGAAAGATCTTTGCATGGCACTCAACGGCGGACAATCCGAACGCATCTCGGAACGCTATGACATGAGCACAGTTAACTAGAATTAAATTCAAGACTTTTTTTTTTTTCAACATCTTAGCCCCGTAATAATACTTGACTGAGCGCTACGCTTAATTTTGTATAAATATAGTGGTCTTCGTTTGTAATAACGTACACTATACTATCGTAGGACACCGCTGGCTTACACTGTTCATTTTCAGTGTATACACCGACTCGAACATTCCTGATTTAACTGTCGAACGGTTTTACAGTGATTTGTGTCAATTCTGAAACATGTTATTGAATTTGTTGAATCTTTGTAAAGTATTGATCGCTGTCGACTTAAATCTACCCAAAGGTATACTAACTCGATTAAAAATTGTTATTTATGTACATCATAAAATCGGATAATTCTAATCTATTGTACAAATAGACAAAAACGAACCGAGGAGTCCAGAAAACGTATTCAGTTTTCATTAGAACACAGATCACGAGACAAATCCTTGGAAAATTCTCTCTTTCACTTACGCCACTGCTTTAGTTATGGCTTTTGGTGTTTTCGAGACGCGTTTTACATTCCTGGCTGACTCGCCACTCTTAACTTACATGTTCGTGTTCCTCGTTTTTTAATGCAGCCCTTTCTGTCCCGCAGGAGACGAAATCGTCAGGACAAATAAACGCGAGGACGATGTGAAGGAAAGTCGGTCGAGACTTGCCTCTCACACGAACTCGACAATCGCCGAGGAAGCTGTGGATCAGCTACAAGCTTCGGAGAAACTTATCGCTGGTAAGTATAGGGAAGACATTTTTAAATTAATTCTCTGATCTTATTTGTTGTCTCTATCTCGTATGTTTCAATCCAGTTGATAAATATAAAAACGTAACATAAAATGGTATGTAATCTTTCATAGCTCCATTCATTTCATTACACAAATAACTTGAAACGAATGTAGAACTCGAATACGGATACAGCCATGTCTGTCTGCTTTTCATCACATTTCCATATCGGTGTCAACCTAAAATTAACTGTATACCTACTTGCAAAAAAGTAAAAGGAAATATCGATTCCTCTGACCCAGATAAAACGACTACCCTCTGGAGTATAATTTCATCACCGAATATGTAGTTCAGTGACACATTTCTGGAAGATTTATTGTTCGCCCTCTGAAGATTGTAGAAAGAAGAATACTTGGCGGAGAGTGTAGTTACAACAAAAAACATTTTTGCTGTTTGCTTTCAGAGCTGAACGAAACATGGGAGGAGAAGCTGAAGCGAACAGAGTTGATACGCCTTCAGCGCGAGGCGGTGTTCGCCGAAATGGGAGTTGCGGTGAAAGAAGATGGCGTAACGGTTGGCGTGTTCTCGCCAAAGAAAACTCCCCACTTGGTGAACTTGAACGAGGATCCTCTTATGTCCGAGTGTCTGATCTACTACATCAAGGACGGTTTCACGCGTATCGGTAACGCTGAGGCTAACATACCTCAAGACATCCAGCTTTGTGGCCCGTACATACTGAGCGAGCATTGTGTCTTCGAGAACCACGAGAGCATCATCACCCTGATACCGAAGACGGACGCTTTAATTTATGTAAACGGACGCGAGATCACTGAACCAGTTGTTCTGAATACTGGATCTCGTGTGATCTTCGGAAAAAATCATGTATTCAGATTCATACACCCTGATCAAGGTAAACGAATTTTGTTTCGCAAAGATCAAATTGTGCTTCAAAATTGTTGAGTGTTCGTAAGCGAAAATAAACGTCTGTTTTTTGTACAGTTCGTGAACGATGGGAGAAGGGGTCCTCTGCTGAGACACCTGGAAATGTAGAAACAGTAGATTGGAATTTTGCACAAATTGAATTGCTGGAAAAGCAAGGAATCGATCTCAAAGCGGAAATGGAGAAGAGATTATTAGTGCTGGAAGAACAGTACCGCAAGGAAAAGGAAGAAGCTGATCAGCTGTTCGAAGAGCAAAGAAAAGTACGTTGAAACGAAAATTTAAACAATAGTAAAAGAAAATAAGGAAACAATATGTAGTCCCAATATACGTTAATTCAAACGTAAAAATATATGGATGGTATTGTGTTCGCAGAGTTACGAGGCCCGGATAGATGCACTGCAGAGACAAGTGGAGGAGCAGAGCATGACGATGTCTATGTATAGCAGTTACACACCAGAAGACTTCAATAATATCGAGGAGGATATTTTTGGTGAGTACGCATTACAGACTGTCTCTGAAGTTAATAATTTTTTGTCTACCTATACATCATAAATTGCATCTTTCTAGTTCGTTATGATTATTAAAATTCACACGAGCAAAGCTGTTGCAAACATTTTACCTTAACGATATTGGAGTATTTATTTCGAAAAAATAATTTTAAATTCGAAATTGTCGCGTGGAAAATGTTTACACAGTTCTGAGTAAGCTACGATCGTGTGTAGCTCGTACTGCCTCTTCGTTAAAACTGCTAGAATTTGTAACGAGTACATTGAAATTTAATTTAAATATAGATAGATTGACGAAATTATAGAGGGTAACATTATCAAAAGTAACTGAAGTAAAATGAAAAGGCCATTTGTCTCATTACAAATTCTACAGTTGCACGGATCTGTGCGAGGCATAATCAGATGATGGTACGTAAAGAAACGTTACAAGCATTTTCTGAATGTTCATTCATTGTTCGATTTTTACCCTTCAGTTGATTGTAATGCACGCATGCAGTTATATTGTACAATGTTACATTGTTTTCAGCTGTTTAATTACTCTTTGCTAGTTTGCGACGAAATAAAAATTTTGAACTTGTTTTATGAGATCGATTCTCTTCCAAGTCTCTTTTCGTCAACGTGATCACAGTCCATCATCTGATTGTGGACAGACCACAGAGGCTGCTTTTAACGAAGGAACCGGTGGTATCCACAAAATGCTTGGCTTTTCTGACTGTTTTGCCTGGTAATGGCTTGCATTTCAGTCAACCCCTTGTTTGACGCAGAGAGCAACTGGACCGAGAGAGAGTTCCAACTGGCCGCTTGGGCCTTCCGAAAGTGGAAATACCATCAATTCACAAGTCTTCGGGATGATCTCTGGGGCAACGCGATATTCCTCAAAGAGGCTAACGCTATTTCTGTCGAACTCAAAAAGAAGGTACATCCGTGGTTTATTCATGGGAACAAAATTCTGACGTTACTTGTCATTCGTGAATCATCGACACTTGCTTCTTCCATTATACGTTTTGGCATCCGTTTCATTACAATCGCTTAATCGTCATGGGCATTTAATATTTGTTTAATCAATACATGGTTATCGCAATTTTTGTGGCAGAATAAATTTTTTTTGAAATCGTTCATCTGTAAAATATTGAAATTGAGTTATTGTTTAACTTAAACGTTGATCAGAAAGTTCAGAATTTCTGATCGTTCAATTTTACACGGAACTCTAAATTTGTATTTTCTTTTATATTTAATTCTTAATGTGTCATTTGATGCATATTAACGCATCTAACAAATCAAGTACCCCCTTTTTGACGTTCTATGAACTGAATAAATATTTGGTATTATCACAAGCACACATAGATTCATCTGTTTTTTCATGATTTTTTAACTCGATTTGAAGTATTGAATTTAGTATCGATGCTTTATTTAACCAACTCATTCAATTGCTTCATACCTCATACAAATTTTCGTAATAATTTATCATTTGCAATAAAAACAACGTTTTTTATTCATTCAATTAAAAAAAATTTTTTTTTTTTCAATTTATTTTTAAATCTTCGTGAATTATTTCAGCGAGAAAGCACGAATGTTGTATGATCTTTACTATCTACATATAAAATGTTCTTTATAGGTGCAATTCCAGTTCACCTTGCTCACGGATACACTTTACTCGCCGCTCCCTCCGGATCTTCTACCCGCTCTGGACGAAGAAGAAGAGGAAGAAAGACCATTCCCGCGCACGATCGTTGCTGTAGAAGTTCAAGACACAAAGAATGGAGCAACACATTATTGGACGCTTGATAAACTCAGGTTTGTAATCAGTATACTGCTTCGTGTTGTGATCATGCATTATATTATCGTTTAATACTTATGCTTAGGGGGTGAGTCACTAATCCATTCTCCTAAGTAAAATGAGATATCGAGATATGTACTGTTCATTTCTACTTTAATAGTTACAAATTGTATTTTCAACAACTACCAATCATAGCGACAAATACCCCTCTTTTTAGTATCGTAGGGTTTACTAGGACCATGTATGTAGAAATGGGGTTATCGACCCCTTTTCCAGATTCTTAAACAGGATTGAGTTCTAATAGAGCCTCGGTAAACTTCTAAATATTATAGATAAATTTGTCGTCATATTTGTCCTGTATGTAGGCCAGTGTAGGCGTTTGAAGTATCCGATTATTTATTGTACAACCGAATCAGAGAGCCCTGTAACGTGGGTTAAATCATTGCTTTGATCAGATCGTGCTTGGATAAAAACGCACAGGAACACTCACGCAAGTAATACGTGTTAACTTATAGACAGCGCTTGGAGCTGATGCGACACGTGTACAACGAGGACTCGAGCCCCAGCACCCCGGAGGCCAAAGAGGATATTTTCCAATGCCTTACAGTCTACTCTAATCCGAAGTTCTCGCTCGCAAATCTTTTGCCTTCGAGGTTGGTGCTCGAATGCGCGAGGCTCTCTCCTCATTATCGCCACACGCTTCACGCCCATCCTCTGATCTTTACGAACGCTAATTGTCGATTTTACATAATTTCGCCTCACCGTTTTCGCCAGTGATTTCCAAATTTTTTACGAAAGGCGCCCCTCTAAAAGAAAAGAGAGAACTTCTGCGCTCGAGATTTACAAACAAACAATTTCTGTTATGCTTATTTTGATTGATTCGAAATTTAATTGTTTTTATTCTTCACTTATCGAATCTGAAATATTGTTTAACGACAGCTTATGGACAAATCAAATGCTTGCAAAATTCTCGCCCTAAGAAATAAATGGTATTTACTACTACCTACAATAAGTGATATTTGCTAATATATGTACATTGTTTATAATCGTTAAGAGCAAAGAGCTTAAATTAATTTTTGTTCGTTACTATATGTTGTAAATAACATGATACAGAACAAAAACGAAAATCCAAGTAACATACCCTTGATTTAAAATTTATGGATAGGGAAATTGTTTAGACGTGACAAGTAGAATATTTTAAATATACTCTCACGTATTATTAGAAAGACACGTTTGAATTATCCACATTTTTCTATATTACAAATGTTTCCTGACCCTTTCGGATTACAAGGCACCTAACTTGTAGTAGAGTTCCCTACTTTGGAAAACACTGATATACACACTGTCTCGGTCTAAACAACTATCGTCAGAAAAAAAAAAAAAAATACTTTGCTTTGTAACTGTGCTGGATTCAACGAGATATCGATGAAGAATTTTGCATGGCCAAGCGTTCCGAGTCTTCGGCGTCGTAAGTCGAAGTGGAATTAACCCCTCTAAATTATGAAGTGTATGAAATTCGAAATAGTTTCGAAATCAAAAATCATTTCTGCTTATCAAGTTGCTGGATTTATTCGATTGATTGTTCCTGCAGTTGAAATTATAGAAATAGTTTGAAAGTATTTTGCCACACATCTTGCATTCATAGAAACGCAAATTTCTTTTGCAAGAAGAAAGTAGGAGATCCTTGAAGGGTTTAACTCCTTTTGTATGTTTCAATTGTGTCTCGCTGAACACGTGCGCTCCTTGCGGCTGAAATTTTGTCACACTCTTGCTTCGTGACTTCATTGTGCACATGCCACTACACTCCGCCAACGAGTTACACAGCGATAATTTAAAGACTACAAAAATCACGTAGAATATGTATGTACTTCAACAGCTTAGATGCTGTACACTACTATAATACCATATTCTTTGACAACGTAGTACCTTTCTCTATATGAAAATACAGGGACAGAAACAAAATTCGATTACAGTATCCGTATCAATTGAACAAAAGTTAAAATTAACGAGTTGTTTTCATAACGTATGTCCCTTTATTTGTGCGAACACATTTACTAATTTTCTCATTCGATTTCTAAATATATCTCTGAACACGTATCATGCACACGATGTCTTTAAAAAAAAAATAAGTGAATGTTGTGTACCGAGTGTCCTTCACTGTGCTTTTCGACAATGTCTGACTATGTTTCGATCAACCGCTGGCAAACAGTGTGATTTAACCCGCAGAACGGTTGTTTTCATTTTTGCGCAGACAAAGACTCGAATTGATGCGCGAAATGTACCACAACGAGGCTGAACTATCGCCCACATCTCCAGACTTCAATATCGAGTCCATCACCGGTGGTGATCCCTTTTACGATCGTTTCCCATGGTTCCGAATGGTTGGAAGGTAAGTGGACAAATGGTTGTGATTAAAAATTGTCAGATTTCCTGACTTTAAAACCAATTCGGTTATTGTGGTTTGATTAATCCTTGACGAAACACGTTTGTTTGCGATTACAGGTCCTTTGTATACTTAAGCAATCTCATGTACCCTGTACCGCTGATCCACAAAGTAGCGATAGTAAACGAAAAGGGAGACGTGAAAGGGTACTTGCGCGTGGCTGTGCAAGCCGTTGTCGGTACGTAATCAGTGTCTATATGTCTCCGATCCAAATTATTCTTACACCTTGCTTATCATCTCTCGATTATCACGAGAGTCCCGACGTAGGATTTTCGTAACGAACCCTTCTTCCAGAAGAGGAAAACAGTGAGTACTCAAGCGGCGTTAGACAGTCAGCTAGAATTTCCTTCGAGGACGATCTCTTTGACGGGCACAAGCAAAACAAACGCAACACTCTGTTGACTCAGACGCTCGAAAAAAATCGACAGATCCTTCTGAACGAGGAACGCGTCGTGGAGGGCCATAATGAGCAAAAGGATGTGAAAGACGAGGACGACATTTGTGATGCCGACAGTGGCAGAGGCGACAGCTCGGTTTCCAGCGACATGAAAGAAGATGATTTACCAGATCATTTGCAACCAGGTTCTGAGTTCACGTTCAGAGTAACGGTGCTGCAAGCTATGGGCATTTCCACCGAGTACGCCGATATTTTCTGCCAATTCAAGTACGTTTCACGCGATGACATAGTCATGGAAACAGTTGAAGTTTTATAATCATTAGCTAACACGAAATTATATGTTGCATGTGACATGCAGTTTCTTGCATCGACACGATGAAGCTTTCTCAACGGAACCGGTAAAGAACACAGGAAAAGGAAATCCACCTGGATTTTATCACGTACAGAATGTAAGTTAGTAATTTACAGCGCAAAGAACTGGACAGGTTTGTAGGACGGTTAAATGTAAGAGATACGTATTTTTTAACTGCCGCAACTCAAGTTTAAGCCCCTATGACCCAACATGACTTTAAAGTGAGGCTTCACCCCTTAAATATATTTATTTTTGGCCGCTCTGCAAGTCTACAAAATGTCATAATAAACATGAAAGAGCGGATGATCCTAACGAGAACCCATTAGCAGGTTTGGGTCAATTACTATATGGAATGACCAGTTTAATTTGTTTAGATTACAGTCACGGTGACAAAATCATTCCTGGAGTACCTTAAAACTCAACCAATCGTCTTCGAGGTTTTCGGACATTATCAGCAACATCCTCTGCATAAAGATGCTAAACTGGAATAGTGAGCATTGAATTCTTTGGACTCAGTATTTATTTAAAATTTTTTTTTTTCAATCAAATGAATCCCACTTCATTTCCTTTGTTTTCTTTATTGATCACCTACATTCCAGCACATATCTTTACTTTAGCATTCATCCCAACAGCGTAAGACAGCCACCGAAGAGAATGCTTCCACCGTCTATACCGATCAGCCAACCCGTACGATCGCCAAAATTCGGAAGCGTTTTACCATCGCCCAGCACGTCACATGTACACGCTAAATACGACGTGTTGGTATGGTTCGAGATATGCGAACTAGCACCGAACGGCGAATACGTGCCATCCGTAGTCGATCATAGCGACGATTTGCCATGTCGTGGTCTTTTCTTGCTTCACCAAGGAATTCAGCGTCGCATTCGAATTACTATCGTTCACGAACCAGCGTCCGAATTGCGATGGAAAGACGTGAGAGAGTTAGTCGTTGGCCGCATTAGAAACACACCAGAGCCAGAGGAAGAGGATAATGATTCTTCGGTGCTCTCGTTGGGTCTGTTCCCTGGTGAATATTTAGAAGTACCTGGAGACGACAGATGTATGTTCAGATTCGAGGCGGCATGGGACAGCTCTCTTCATAATTCAGCCTTGCTCAACAGAGTTACAGCGTACAGGGAACAAATTTTCATGACCATCTCTGCGTACCTTGAGGTACGTCCTTTGTTTATTCTGACATTATTTCTTGACGTGTCTCAATTTTAATTATCATCTGTTTTTAGTTGGAAAATTGTGGAAGACCTGCGATCATTACTAAAGATCTGAGCATGATCATTTACGGCAGAGATGCCAGAGTAGGACCTCGTTCTCTCAAGCATCTGTTCAGCGGAAGCTACCGCAATCAGGAAGCTAATCGACTTAGTGGTGTCTACGAGTTGGTTCTGCGTCGTTCTTCGGAAGCAGGTAGCCCAGGTTTGTCTTGTCTACCCTTAGCGTAGTCCACCCTTGATCCTTTCCTACATTGCTGATATAATAGTCGCGTACATTTTACTGACAGAGTACAATCTATTCGAATAATAATCTTATATTTTGTAATTGAGCATAATACACACAATGGCTATTATATCATGATACATCGATCAATTGGCAGCTTTCTCTATTATTTTTTGCCCCTCTGTTAAGTTATCGGAAGTGTATATGTATTTAAATCAATTTTGCTAAAAAAAAGTTTTTATATTTTCTGACATTCCATTCCCGTTTCGTTCAGTACCCATCTTTCACAATTACTTTTCAGGTGTTCAAAGGCGACAACGTCGTGTACTAGACACGAGTTCAACGTATGTTAGAGGAGAAGAGAACCTCCACGGGTGGAGACCACGAGGAGACAGTTTAATATTCGATCACCAATGGGAACTGGAGAAATTAACAAGACTGGAGGAAGTGGAGAGAGTAAGACATACGCTATTGTTACGAGAAAAACTTGGCATCGATAAAGTTCCATTCTGCAATAAAATACCGCACGACTTCACAAAGAGCGAAAAGGTAATTTCATTCCTTATCTAAAGATGCAGAAACTTAACTACAAACGGCAAAATAATTGTATTTGAACAAAATCAAACTTCAATTAAAATCGGCGAGTACCAGACACATTTTTAATGTTAATTATTTTTTTACGCAGGAGGTTTGCAATATGATGGCGAAAGCGACGAACGAACCACATGCTAGCCCGGTAAAACTTAGACGTTCGACGAGTAAGGATGTTTACGAACATTGCGAGATGACTGAGAGAGAAAAGGAATTGGCCACAAAGTATATAAAACTGATTCAAGGTCGAATTCCAAGCAAAGAACCTATTCTACTTTCCGACGTTTCACCTGGAGAAGACACTATGGCTGATATGTCGGGATCCATGATGTCTTCGGTGATATCGTCCTCGTCTCAAGAGTCAGTATACGCGAGAGCTAGTGATATCTTAGAGCAGGTAACCCTCCCCGCATGCCGAGTGCTCCTGCTAGTAGCGGTTGTCCACGCTTCGTCGCATCATATTACCTTGATGACAAAATTAAATATGGTTTTCGAGATTCAAAGAAAAACAATCCTCACTATCTCTTCATTCAAACATTCCTGGATGGATGCATAGGAAGAAATTTCTCTTTGTTCTTGGTATTATCATAGAAACAGCGCTGAATTTATCATTAGAGACTGAGTGAAGATAGCATGGATTCGATTCAATTTGAACGTCGAAACACTTCTATTTCGAACAAATTGACTCACCTTTTCCACGTAGCTTGCAACAATTTTGATTTAATCTCTAAACTAAATGAAATTCAAATCACGATCGCTTTTGAAATTGGTCAACTTTGATCACGCAATTTTCGGTAGCTTTGCTGAGTGAAAATTGCGCTTTTAGCGCAGTCAGCTTCTAAGAACTGCTTACTGTTTACTTAACAACTGGTAAACGATGACTCGATGTGTTTGAGTCAAAGACAACCGCCCAGCATGATTGGACACACGGTCAGGGTGATGCTGGAGTGTTACTTGCAGGCTGCTGGTATAATAGTATGGAGCAGGTCTAAGTCGTGCATCCTTAGGTTGAGTTCACCGGAGAGGGCTAGACTGCAAGAACTACAGGAGAGCATATTGGCAAGCGAGTCCAGCAACCAAACATGTAGCGTTGCACCGGCTCCATTAGGTTCCTCTTCTCCGTCAAAGGAAAATTTGGTGCTCTACGTGCCAGAAGTGGAAGAAATACGCATTAGCCCGGTTATTGCTAGAAAAGGATACCTAAATGTTCTCGAACACAAGACTAACGGATGGAAGAAACGTTGGGTGGTATGTACACAGAGAAAGTGATATACTTTCAAGGCATTTACACAATAGCGTGGGAAGTAAAAGTGTATAATTGTTCATAAAGAATCTTTTATTTCTAACGACATTCTTTTTGTATGTAGGCGGTACGACGACCTTACGTTCTAATCTTTCGAGAAGAGAAAGACCCAGTAGAGAGAGCTCTCATCAATTTAGCTACTGCTCAAGTTGAATATTCCGAAGATCAATTAGCCATGGTGAAAGTACCAAACACTTTTAGGTAATTTAGAAAGTACACAATAATTTTTGTTACCTCACCTTTAATTTCTAATTTTGTGATAAAAACAAATTATTCACTTTCGTTTCTAGTGTTGTTACAAAACATCGAGGATACTTGCTTCAAACTTTAGGGGACAAGGAAGTCTACGACTGGCTATATGCTATTAATCCTCTCCTTGCTGGTCAAATCAGGTATGTGTATAATTCCAAAGAATCTTAAAATTTGTCACTCTACAACAGGAGCTGGCTCTACAACAGTTACTACTGTTAAATCATTCCATTTCAATGAAAATATAAAATTACATGTGGTCAAAGACATCTATTCATTCGCATAACCTTAAAGGTCTCAAAAGTCTCGAAGGAATCCAACCGTCAGAAGGCATAACAATTTACGCACCTGTTTCTCTGTCTTAGAGGGAACACTGGTGACAAAATCTACAGTTTTGAAATTCAATAATTATGAAAATGGTGTAAGTCCATTTATGGTCACCAAAAATGTTTATAGCTCAAGTCCTGTATGATTTAACAATCTCACAAATTTATTTATCAGCGATCACCGAAAGTATACGACTAGCGATTTAGCATTTATTAGTATTTCTCAGCGAAACCTTTATACATATTTGAAAACAGAAATACATTTATTGACTTACACCACTTTTATAATGAACGGCTCATGTATGTTAGGTATGGCGCTCACGAGATTGGACCTGAGGGGTACCATGAATTAAAGGGAATGCTTCTCGACTCTGCCAGTGGATTGTACTCTGCGGAGAAAAAAGGACCTTCCTTGGAGGCGTATTGGGTCAGACGTTATAGTCAGCCGTCATAGATATACTAGTTGTAGGCATTACTCGCCGCTGTCCATATTCTACTTACTCGTAGTGCCATATTCCCCTTAATCCGGGATCGTTCTTTCTCTTTCCCTGCTGTACAGTAGAAAGTCTGACCCTTCCTTTTACGTCCATTCTCGTGAGCTCCTCACTACATCTGGTCGCATGCAGAGTATTTAACGACAGCTGTTTAAAACTTTAAAAAATGATTCTTTATGTCAAAATAAATAAAAAATAATGCAATTCTTGATTTTCATTTCACTTTGACATATAAATCAATCTTTAAAGATACCAGGCATCTGTTGTTGAATAAACTGTGTAAAGCATCTCTCGAAGTTTATTTTCTCCGCACCTGATGTCTTTCTGTTCTCGTAAAAACGCCGAACAATACATAGTGTATCAAAATAATCGCGAACTGTTACAGGTCGAAACTAGCGCGCAAAGGGCCGACAGCCGCGAATTTGAATAACGCTTCGCCAGTCGGTCTAGCTCCGCTTATAGATCAACAGTCGAACCAAAACAAGTGAGTGGTCGACACGTTGGCCGAGGTAACGAGCGTCATCACGAAAGCCTCCGAGAAGATGCTGTGCTGGTCTCACTCGGCCTTCGAGTCTCATGATCTCTGTAGCTTTCGATTTCCGGTAGTCTTCGATTATTAAGCGGCTCGGAAAAGCGTATCGATCGGCTACCAAGCTTCGATAGCCGCCGATTAATATCTCGTCGTCTGATTTAACGATCGTCAGCCACCCTTCGCGTCTGACGATCGATTAGAGAAGAAGAATAAAAATACAGAATCGGTAACTAACGCAAGCGTGCATTCGTCTTTCGAAAGAAACGTTAAACACGTTTAAGTAAAACAAAAAAAAATTATTACTAAGGGGTCGTGAATTCCTCCGCGTGATCCTCTCCGTTCGTTTCGAGACACTGATCGAAACGTAGCAAAACGTCGATGAGGCTGTCACCGTGCGAACTCGCGATACACCTTTTAACGTCGTATTTGAATTTCTCGATATTAGTCGGTTGCGCGAAGCGATTCTCTGTAAGCGCGAAACTGCATAGGGCGAACAGGAACGTATTTTATGCCTAAAATAAAACATTCCTAAGACGATCATAGAAACGAGGCAAAAGATATACACACTGTAGGTATATACTCGTATGAGATGATGTGTGCGAGAGGAAGCAAGAAAGGGAGGGAGAGAAAGAATTAGGAGGAACGAAGTGGCGAGTTAAGGGGAAACACCACCTTTCAAGCCGAAAAAAATGTTGATATCTGAGAATTTTTTCTGGCGATACCAAGTATCTAATATGAATATGTGACACGTGTAATGAAAGTACATACCTTAAATATTCTTGACAATATTCATAGAAATATGTTACTATAGAAAATCGTGACGTTAACATATTTTTATGATAATTATCAGAAATATTGTTCGAAGTATATACTTTAAATGTACACAACAAATGTTTGTTATTTGCCACTTGGTGTTATCACAAAAAATTGTCAGATCTGAAAATATTCTTTGCCCCGAAAAGTGGTGTTTCTCCTTAAGATGCGTCTACACTATGTAACATAACACGTTATATAGCAAAGTTATAAAACTTGTTAATGAAAAAATGTTAATGTACGATCAACGAAGGTTAAAAAACATTGTTCTATAACGTGTTGCAAGTCGGTCTAAATCAATGTGAAGCAGATTTGAAACACTTGCCATCTCCCATATGCAGATGGTTCGTCACGTCAGTCTGACTGAAATCTTTCGCTGAAAACTATTTCCTTTTACTGCTTCATTAACAAGTTCAACACGGCATGACCCACCGATGGGTCAAACTGCAAACTTGTTAAGAATTCGTCACTCGAAGAGGAATGTACGAAAATGGTTGTCGCTGTGAACGCGTTATTGTTTTTTTAAAATGATTACAAAATGAAATAACCTCATACCATATATAAAATATGTACTATTCACTATATTGGTATACGCGGACAGATTATTACTATTATAGTACTATACAGTGCAGTATTATAGTAGTATATACCGTTCTCGCCCTAGCAGTGTACTACTATAGTGTTGTACGTAGTATGTATATACACGTATGCCTGGTTTATGGTTCTTACTAACGAGATGCAGAATATCTCAAAAACTTGTTACAATACAGATAATGTAATCTAGTAACAAGTTATAAAAACATGTAAAACAAAGTTACGAGAGGATTTGTTATATAACAATGCTCTGTTATATAGTGTAGACCCTGCTTTATGAATTTTTGCGTGTTCATGTCTGGAGATTATACACCGAGAAAGGGTGCGGATTATTTCGTACAAGTTAACACGGTGAACGTTGAATAATTGATAGTGATTCGTTTACGTATTAAGTTTACAACTTTGATCGTCATCGAAATACACGATCCTTTCCCCTACAACCTTGTTTCGCGTTGGAACACGTTTTGCGCCTCGGATAAATTGTTGAAATTTTATAATTCGACCTCCTATTTCAGTCGTGAACATAAATTTGGTTCAAACGATATTTTTAGGTTTTTGTATTCGATAAGGGACAAATCAGATGTTTGTTGCTATTTAAAAAGCTCTCTTTCACGTTTTGATCAATATTTATTTATTGAAATATTCTGTATTGATTCCAGAGTTTACTATTGTTTAAAGAACAACTCAGCATATACATAAACAATTTCAGAGAAACGATTACCAATATGTTATCTTGCGAACTTACCCGAGTAAATCCTGAGGCGGATTATTTTCTCGGTCGTTTATACGCGGTAGCGTACGCGTAAGTGTACCCCGCTCCTGTTGCCGTTTTTGCTTGCTAACTGTTGTAGAGTCTGATAGTTTTATTTTGTTAACGTATCGACGAAGAACGAGAGTCCGTAATCCCGTAAGTTGTACAACACACTCGACGCTTAACCCTTTGAAGCAAAAGATTTAGACGAAATTAATTAACAGGAACATCGATTATTTCTTCTTTGTTCCGATCGTGTTAATTTGAAATCGTAAATATTTATATTATTAGTTAATGAAATTATAAATTATTGATTCTATTTCGTATTTATGTTACGTTTTTGTAACAGTATAGGTCACGTTTCGAATAGTAGCTGCAGTCACCCTTTTGAGTGATACAGTTACAACATAGTTGATTATTTGTAATTGTAAATTGAATACATGGATGTATCTGCGTCATTTGTTGAGTACATCTAGCAATCACAAATTGTCATGTCTGTAATGGTTAAAATACGATTCAAAATGCAATGTTTATTATTTCGTATCGTATTATTAATATTTAATTATTTATTGGCGAGAGCTCTCCAATTAAAAAGAATAATTCTTGATCAGCATGTTGCAAAATAATTATCATGAACAGACTAATGAAATCACTGAAATTTATTATTTCTTCTTTTATCCAGAGTTATCGAATAACTTGATAATTCATATTGCTAGATTGTTATTCATGTTTAATAATGTACCAAAGAGATTCCGTATCCTGTTGGAAATCGGAGAGGAAGAACTTCGTGTAAGATAAATGTAAGAGACTAGTAGTAATAGAAGATATAAGGGAAACGAAGCATTTTTCACGAATATTCATAACTTCTCCAAGCAAATGTATTAAAAATCTGAACCGAAGGATGTAAGTAGTTTACTGTATGTATCCCTGTTTTCAGAGATGTCCATCGTACATCTACGAAGTAAATATACTTTAGTAAATTTAGAATTAAAACAAAGACTTATAAGATGCGTTTTTACACGATGATACAAAAATTAATGTATGTATAATTAAGCTATTACTGTTTCTTTTTTTGTTTTTTTTTTTGTTTTTTTTTTTTTTTTTAATCCACAGGAAAATGCCTACAAACTGTACAAGGGTATAATGCTTATGGGCGGGAACAATATTTATTGATATTACTTACGATGTACAGTATTTAAATTTAAATTTTATTATTTGTATATAATTTATTTATTATATGTAACGAATCGGGCGTGTAAGTAAAACGAAGCTAAAATTGCAAACGGTTATGCACTAACTATCATTGCTTCAGGGGGTTAAAGTCTTAATTTATGACGTAAAAGGATAATGAAATCGGAAAGTAAATGCGAAGGGGATGAAAAATAAAAAAAAAAATGATAATGAAAATCGATGGAAATACAAGGAACATGATACGAGACTTGAATGAAACGCAAGGCACCGTTGGTCAGGTTAATAATCATTGTTGTTATTAGGAGTCAAAATACGGAATTAAAGAGAATGAGTCGAGAGGGAGAAGGAGAGAAAGGAAAGACATAAAAAAAGAGAGAATGAATAAGCGTGACCGCGCGCGAGAGAGAGAAAGTGAGTACGAGAGAGAGTACGAAAGAATATGTTTGCTTATACATATATATATAAGGTATGTATATTTGTATATATACATAGATATGTATGTATACACGTGTACAAACCTTACAAATGAAGTATATTATATAAATATATAAATAAATTTAATATTAACGTAAGCATTTTGTCAAATGTCAAAAATCATCCGATGACGTACGGAGAAAGTTTAACGATGATTTGATCTGTACCAAGTATGTAAGTTCATATACTTGTTTGTAAGTTACCTAAAAATCTATTGCGAAAACGTTTTCATTTCTGGTCGTTTGCTATGAGAAACATGCATCGATGCTGTAACTTGTATTTATTATTATTATTCGATTTTCGCTAGGCTCACTGTAAGTGGTAACGTGTAATAAATCGGTCAATAAAAAGCTTATATGCTTAACGAATTCTTTTCAGAGTATACCCGTTTTTTATGTTGATGCATGACGCAAAATAAACGTACTCTTATGCAGATCCCCGTTGCTCGATGCTGGTTTACAATCTTTTATAAAACGAAGTATAAAAGGACACAAATTAAACATTTATTTAATCATTACCAATCCCTGTACAATGGTGATGAATTGATAATAACGATTTACAAATTCGTTCCTACTCATGGCGTTGGTATCTAATCTTATATTCTCGGTCAACTTCGTACAGGTATCCGCTAGTGTTTGTACAATTTTTTGATCACTTTGGGCAGATAAAATGTTCTGTACAAGTTGCTGATATTCCTCTTGATAGCAACACAGCAAATTATAAAAAGCCATGCCCGCGATAAATATGAAATCTGGTTCGATTTGATGCGATAAACTTACAGTCATCAGTAACTGAAAAAAAAACAATTATGCCAATTCTGGAACACTTGTGTAACAATCGTATCGAAATACTAAATTGAATACTAAAGAAGAAAATTCTAGTTCAGGAGTGGGGATTGTCGATTCCTCGGAGGACCACGCATATTTACCTAAAGAAGAAAAAATAGACATGTCTATAGTTCGTTAAAAGCTGTTAACTTTTTAACGTTAAAATAACTATATGAAAAGACTGTAGGTTCCCCATCCCTGTTCTAGTTGTACTCAATTTTGATTTCTTTTATAATATCCGAAGGTATATAAGATAAAGAATAGAATTTGTAATGTATAGAAAACTTAGATGAATGAGTAATTGTAATATCATTTACATTTAAGAATGGTGCCATTAATTTATTTCGTGGATGTTCGTTTGAACTATTGTAAATATGTTGTGCCAAATTTTGAATTATTTGACAACACATTGAGAATATTTCGGAACCAAACGAGAATAAACCTAATTCTACCGATGCTAAAAGCGATCGTAACAATTCAGGAGGTAAATTGCACACGTCATCAGGAAAACTTTTACAACGCGATTTTATCATCTTAAAATATCTGCAACAAAAAGAAGTCGTATTTGAATTCAATTATGATATATAAAGTTAATTAACAAAGTATTGTCGCTATTAATACGATAATGACAAATGTTCACTTACTGCGAACACAGTGATGGGATTTTTAGTAAATCTATAGTCACCATAGGCATAATTATATTTAAACCGCATAAAAATATATCCGGTAATTCCTTACTACTGACATAAGGTCCGAACGTAGTATCTTTGTTTAAAATATTAGTTAGAAGCTTCATTAGCAGCAAAATGTCTTGGCAATTGCTTTCTTCTGTAGTTGAATCTACAGTTACCCGATTAGCATTGCAACGCGCATAAATTTGTATTGTACTTAAACAAATTTCACGCATTTGTCGTTCGGTTTCAGTCTAGAATTATAAAATAATGTAAAGGATAATATTATTTAATCGTTACTGTTCAAATAACAATAATTATTTTTACCTCTTCTAAAAGCCGAAGAATCTCTTTGTTTGTACACTCGACGAGGAGCTCCAAAATTAATTGTACTATTTGCTGATAATTGTGGTATAAAGACAGTAAACTCGGAAGTTCCCGTAATACTGGTCGAATGTATTGGAACAATGATATTATGCCGGATTGTATAATTTGCACACATTGTACGCCTTGTGCAACTCCTGTTGCAACAATAAAATATTTTAATATACTGGTACTTCTTTACCGTTTGTTTAAATGTTAATAGGCACATATACAAGCTGTGCCATTTAGACTGTTTTAATCAACGTAACTTTGTTTTAGATGAATTGATTTTTAATATTTCAAGGTGTCTTACCAATGAAACATTCTAAAATATCTATAATTTGAACTTTAATTTCTTCTTGGTGATAACATTGTAAAAACTTCCCATCCGAAGTAAGCTGTTTGCATCTGTCCTGTAATACTTGTATAGTCTGAGACCAATAAGATTTGTCGTGAATAATTCCATCTTTAACAATTCCAGCTTGAACCACGGCGCGCATTAATCCTCTTTTAACCACTTGCTGGAAGTCGTATTGTCCTTTTGTAGCTAGATCTATAATATGTCCAAATCGTTCAGACTTCAACACGAATCTGGCTCTGGAAATTATTATATGTTTCCTCAATCTTTTGAACAAATTACTTTACTATTAAATCTAATCGTGATATATACAACATTTAGTATATCAGAATAAAATATACTCTTCTTCCTTACTAACAAGAAAACACTGGTGACTATTACACCCCGATTTTGATGGACATGAATTACGCCATCATTTTCGAGTTATAAGCGTATAAGTAAACGAGGCGGCTCGGACAAAAGGGGCAATTTCTCCCATGAAACGCAAAAGTGGTACGAACTGAAAATGATGTAATTCGTCAAAATCGGGGTGTAACGGTCATCGGTGTTTCCTTGTAAGTATTGTAAAGCATTGAAATGTGAATTTTTAATATTAATCCTCGGACGACGGACATTTCTGACCGTCGTACTGACCCATATAGAAGCACGTCACGGATCAAATTTCGAATCTAATTATATTTCAAATCCAGATTCAAAAGTAACCCAAGTTCGTCGGCCAAAGATTAAAATGCAAAATTAACAATTTTACAGAATGATCATTAAGCAAAACATATGAGACACGTATTTCTTTAGTGGTGTGTATATTTTAAAAACTGAATTAATAATATATTTTACTAGTAATAAATACGTTAATTCATTCCACTTTGGAAATTTATGATAGAAATAGTGCATTTCTTATTATACAAAATATATCACTATGAGAATAAATCGTTAATGAAAAATTCTACTTGAATATAAGGTTGAACAGTTTTTTTTTTTTTTTTTTTTTTTTTTTGACTGTTTGCTAAACAGTCATCCTGCAAAGCGAATAAAAAATTTTATGCTAGAAACTTTTGAGCAATGAAACTGTACTTTTTGTCTCACCTATCATTTATAATGATCCTATTTGTTCTTTATAATTATAGTCTCAAAATACTTGTATACTTTTGTAGATTTATGCTTGTGGTACAGTTCCAATAAAAAAAAACTATAATAATAATAATAACAATAGAATGAGTTTCTAAACAATGATCACAAAGAAAATTATAATAATGTTATCTTTAAATCAATTTCTCTCAGAAACAGGTACATATTATCACCTACCATGAAACATGTGCCCCATATGAAACAATCATCCGGCAAAAATCTTAAAGAAATTCGAAATCCGTTGATTCCACCTGAAAGACTCAATAAATGTTAATTAAAGTCCTTTGAAAATGAAGACCGCGGCAAAAAATATCGTTGCTCCCAAACAGTTTATTCTAATGACTATTTTATACCATTGTCATATACTTACTTCTTTGGTAAATCAACAAGAGCTATTAATAATTTTATAGTTTCCTTCATTAATGCTGGTTCACCTTTAAAAGCGTTAATATTTTGTACTATTTTTTCAATAAGAAAATTTATAGTCCATGATGCACCGGGCGTATCTTCTCCGAAAGCTTGTATAAATGCAATACTTATTACAGAATAATGATCTTCTACTAATAAGAGGTAATGAAGGGACCATCTGTGTAAAAACCACATTACTGTACAACTTAATTCTGGGCTTAGTATACTATCTAGACGAACGGATATTGCAGTTTTTTCTATGGCACACAAACGAAATACATTTGCTACTAAACGAATTACATGATCTACTGATTCAGTAGCAACATTAATATCCGACGAGACATTCTCCGATGATGCTAAAAATTGTAGTGTGAGATTTAGGTCAACTTTTCCCTGTTGTACCTGAAAATTACTGTACAGTAAACAATACAACCTGTACAGTAGTTATGCTTTTTTTTTTATCACATTAGTTTACAGACCTGTTCCATGCTATATATCATTATGTCAGAAGGTATTACGGCAGTTTCACCTTCGGACTCCATACAAAGTACGTGACCTGTTATGAGCAGTAGCCAATGTATGTCTTCGTATAATTTAATCATAGATATATCCTTTACTGCATTTAAGGATTCAGGTTGTCCTACTAATTTATTCAGAATTTCGCGTAATTTAAGCGTACGATCTTCTATTAAATGTGCCAATAATGGAAGAGAATGATTTGGAATTTGTCTTCCGAAATTTCCTGAAATGGAAAAAAATAATAAAGTTTTGAAAACACAGCATTAAAAAGTAAAAGACGAAATGTAAATATGATACTTACCAATTGTTTGCAATTGTTCCTTAAACCTAACTTTATCATCTATCTCAAACTCCATTTCTTCCTTGTCAAGATCTTTTTCTTCTATATTTCTTATACCTTCTGGTGCAGACAAATGAGACTGTAGATAAATATTAAATATCTTGACAGAACTTTGTTTACAAAACTCGGCAGGAAATAGATTTGTCTCTGACCAATATAGCCATGTTTTGAACAAAGTATCTAAAGCTTCTGTATACAAGCAATCATCAATACATAACTGAAATAAATAAACGTTTCATAATAATTAATTAAGAAATTACAAGATTCTATATTTACAAAACACAGTGTATAATGTAACTTACCGATTCTTCTTGTGCTGCATTTTCTATGAATAGACAAGTTATTCGAGATAACTGTTCCATAAATGATGTAAACATATCATCAGGTAAAGATTTAAAATTTTTACGAAAAAAATTAAAAAGATTTCTTATAATATTAGCAATTCCATTTGCTTCTTGGTCGATAATATTAATACTTGTAATAAATTTTAAAAATCTCAGCATGTAATTAGAAAGATATTGCAACTCGACTTGTTGTGATGACATTATTGTACCACTCAAGCTTGCCATTTGTACTAAACAAGTTCTTGCATGATGAGCTAATTGTAAATTACCTCGTATTTTCCAATACAGTGTAAAAAATAGGTCTAAGACAGCTGGATCTAACACTACATCTTGCCAATCTTTGCTTAACTTCAATGTTGGACTACTTTTTGATTCGAATTCTAATTCGATTAGAGGTAGTACAGTGGAGTTAAGGAATAAAATTAAGTGAATAAGAAAACTAAACTACCAATATATATATAAAAATGAATTAAGGTATTTTGTCATAAAAAGGATATTTCTTACAGAAAGAAATCTCCATGTAAGCGTATTTTCTATAATTGGGAGTAAGTATTTCAGAAGAGTCACAGTATCCTCCTGCATATCTCCTGTAACTAATTCGTCGAGTATTCTGATAGCAAAGTTGAAAATTCTTTTCAAAATATCAGCTTGGAATATATCCTTTTCATTAAAATGACTTTCCCATGTTAAGTCTATATTCGAGGACTTAGCATCAGTTGCATATTCTTGCATTATAGCAGATATGAGATTGCATCCCAGAATTTTCTGTGAACATTACAAAATATGAAATGAAGCTCATTGAGTTACTCAATTCAATTCAATTTCACGTTATTTACTTTTGACAAGTCACCAGTCATTATTAAATTTTCCACTTCATCTAATGTGCGTTGTCGTTCTTGTCCAGAATCATTAATACTTCCCTTTTTGATTATAATTGCAATAGTTTGTATTATGCACCCCTTGACATACTGAGCTAAATGTGGTTTGTTTATCACATAATGAAAAAGGTATTGTTTTAAAGAAGTGATATCTCCTTCTGGTAAAACTGGCCATTCTCGTATCAATGCTATCTTTATTAAGCCAGCTGCTTCAAAAAGAATGTATTCACTGGTATTTGTTTCCAAAATTTGTCGACAGAGTTGATAAGGGAATTTAGTTTTACGAAAATTTAAAAAAACTTCTTCTGCAGGTCGACGTTGCTCTGTTGAAATTAAATTTGGAGGTGCCTAAAAATATAATACAACTACTAAAACAAATACTTTAACAAGTAGTTTTAATATATTTTATACAGATATGACAATACATTCTTAAGATATCTTGTTTGCATTGAAAAATGATGATTTTTCTATTGAATGCATGTTATGTACAAACAAATAATATAAAAAATATCATACTATAGTCCTAATAAACTTAAAAATATTATTTAAATATCCAATAACCAAATTCATACATCGTAGAATAAAAAGAATGTTTACTATATTGAAAATTTTCTTTTATATTACATTGAAAAATACAAAATACAACAGTATTAAATATACGTATTGTATGATATTTATACAGTTCACATAACATTTGTATACATCGTCTTTTACGATTTATTTGTAACATATATTCATTATAACCTTCTTAAAAGAAATAAAAATACATGAAAGAAATCGTAAACTTACTAAAATTATTTGTGCAGCTTTTTCTAATTCGTTAATTAGGTGTTCTGCCATTTGTTCTAAAAGATTCACGTTTTCCAAGTAAAATAATTGTCTGTAAACAAATTTGTCGTTAATAATGTTTGTTACATATTCTACTTCTGGCACCTGTGTTGCCAGACGAACCGGGTTTTTCGCGCATGCTCAACCCACAACGACGAAGACGACGAGCATAACCCAATATGAATTACTATGATACACAGAATAGTCTTACTGAGTTTTAATAAGTTTTACAGAGGCAATACTCTTGCCAGAACCTCTGATGTTCGTGTCCTTTAAATTTGCTCTAAGCTTACCAAATAAAATTACCATCATGCGAATGTACAACAAAAAAATACTTGTATATTTCAAAAATCATTTATTTACTATAGTAAAATTAATTACAATACATAAATACATATTTAGCTTATCATATTCAGTGCATAAAACTATTTACAATATCGATCTGCCTTCATTTTACTTCTTCTGTCTAATAAAGTTTCATGTAAGGTTCCTTCAATTTTTGCTTTTTCTAATTCAGTTCTATCTGATTTATTTATCCTTAACTTTTTGTCCTGAAACTTTTGAAACTTCCTCCTAAAATATAATAACATTTTTGATTTGTAATACATAATGGCAACTTATTCTTTTCTTACACAATAATTGTATCACTTACACATAGTTCACTTCAACATCTTGCAGAGAACCCTGTTCTTCTTTTGGGACATCTTTATTTGGATCTTGAGCTTTTTGAGTTATACTTCTAATAGTACAAAATTCTGAAGGTCCAGCAGTTTTTGTTTGACAAACAATGTCATCTTCATCTGTAAGCGAGATAAAACAGCTATTGCTATTTAAAATAGCAAGTTTGTTATCCTAAAAACAGATTATAGATATATTATTTTTTTGATTGTTATATACAAGAAACAATGTTGCACACAGCATTCACTAAAATACCTGAAAAATTGGCTCCCATTGTTCGATCATGCCCACTGCATCGCTCCTTCCAACGACAACACCTTTTTTATCAACACCTAAATACTTTCCATAACCAGATTTCAGTGCAATCTTAGTTTCACCTATTGGAAATGCTGTCAAGATTTCTTCTGGAGAAGGACCTTCGCCTTCATCATGAGGTGCACCTAATGTAAATAATCCATTATCTAAAGCTTTCATGTAGGTATGATTTCCAAATTCAATCGCCACTGTTCCTGTAACTTCTGATACTTGTGTAGCTTTCCACCATCCACCTATACATTTAATAAAAATATGGAATAATTTACATAAAAATACACATTATTATAAATAATATTAAACATAGTTAAAATACCATGAGCTATAATATCTTTATCATCAGTAGCACTAACATGTTCCTTCTCTTGCTTCTTTGATTTTCGTTTTTTTGATCTGCAACAAGTAAATAAAAAGATTACGATTTAAAAATCATAACAAACAGGTAAGAGGTTACCTTATTTTTTCGCCTTTCAAAACAAGTTTTCCAGTTCTAACTTTATCGTATTCTGACATTTTCTTGTTTTTTGTTGTACTAATTTATATTTATTCAACTTTGTCAATTGTTTCGTGCTTCCTATTATTATTAATACAATTGTTTTGTAAAACAGTATCTGAGTGACAACGGTAAATTCGTCTCAATGTTTGCATACTAATTCACAGAATAAAGAAAACAATATAAAGAAAAGCTAAAGGAAAATTTAACATTTGAGGATTACTTTTCATGCGTTCTTGATTGTTATTAAATAACTATTAATGATTTTCTGTGACGACCACACGTTACAACATCGACACTACTCGCTTTATTTGATTATTTGTTAACTTTTCGCAAATAATTTTTGCAATTTGACGCTTCCGGTGTACAGTATGAATCAGTGGCAACATACAAGGACCATTGTTGTTATGATTTGTATTGAAATTAAATAGTTATTAAAATTTTTCGACAACGTTGCGCCGATTCTGTACAAATAACGGTGTACGAGAGAGAAAGGTATACCGTGAACCGAACCGACAAACTGGCCAGTATAGGTTGCCGCATGATAGGGGTACCCCTGCGCCTACGAGATGGCAACCG